TACTGCTACTCCTTAACTGCTGATTGGAATTTAACAAAATTTGACTAGTAGCATCCCTAGGTGGTGAGGATTCAAAGTTGTACAAATGGAGAGACTGACCCGCACAGGGTATGAGGAATGGGGTCAAAAATTGGTAATTTTGCCATATTGCATTAAGAGATTTCTTCAAAACTAAGAGAAGGAAACCAACCCTTTTTGCTTGGAAGCATCTTTAGGTGATGTGGATTCATAATTGTACAAATAGAGGGGATTACCGCCATAGGGGCTGGAAGTGTTCACCTGTTATTCATTTGACAGCTCTGATCTTCAAAATGAGTACAGGTCAAATTGATTGTTATGGATAAACTGAAGATCTGGCAGAGAGGTGGGGGCAGAGAGGTGGGACACAATAGAGGAAAATCTTTCTCATTCTTTACAAATGAAGGCATTTAAGCCAAGTGTGGTCTGGAGCATCCTTAGGGAAAGAGGACTCAACTTTGTATAAACTGAGGCTGTGGCTCCCCTTGGGGGCAGATGGGTGTGGCCAAATAGGGGAAATGGAGGAAAATATTATAAATCTTCATTTTGTACCAATGAAAGGATTTCAACCGAGTTGTTCTAGAGCATGATGAGGGCAGAGGGAATAGGGGAAATAGAGGTAAAGGATTATTACCAAATTTGTTATAGATCACCTGAATGCAAATGAGACTTAATCTTGTATAGATGGAAGGTTTGGGCCCTAGGGGCAGGGCCAAAAATTGCAAATAAAGGAAACTGTTTTTAAAAAAAATCCTTCGATGCAAATGGAGAGTTTTTTTGCCAATTTTGGTTAAGAGAACCTGCAGTCAAAGACAACTAGATTTTATATAAATAGAGGGTGTGGCCCCCAAAGTGACAGAGAGCAGGGCTCAATAGGGGAAATCGTGATGAAACAGGTCTATAGAGATTACCCTTGGCAGAGATAAATCCTATTGAGGCAGGACTAGAGAGATCACCCCTGGCAGAGATAAATCCTACTGATGCAGGTCTATAGAGATTACCCCTGGCAGAGATAAATCCTACTGAGGCAGGTCTGTAGAGATTACCCCTGATAGAGATAAATCTTACTGAGGCAGGTGTATAGAGATTACCCCTGGTAGAGATAAATCTTACTGAGGCAGGTCTATAGAGATTACCCCTGGTAGAGATAAATCTTACTGAGGCACGTCTATAGAGATTACCCCTGGTAGAGATAAATCCTACTGAGGTAGGTGTATAGATATTACCCCTGCCAGTGATAAATCCTACTGAGGCAGGTCTATAGAGATTACCCCTGGCAGAGATAAATCCTACTGAGGCAGGTCTATATAGATTACCCTTGGCAGAGATAAATTCTACTGAGGAATGTGTATAGAGATTACCCATGGCAGAAATAAATCCTACTGAGGCAGGTCTATAGAGATTACCACTGGTAGAGATAAATCTTACTGAGGCAGGTCTATAGAGATTACCCCTGGCAAAGATAAATCTTACTGAGACAGGTCTATAGAGATTACCCCTGGCAGAGATGCTCTTACTGGGGCAGGTCTATATAGATTACCCCTGGCAGAGATAAATCCTACTGAGGTAGGTCTATAGAGATTACCCCTGGTAGAGATAAATCTTACTGAGGCAGGTCTATAAAGATTACCCCTGGCAGAGATAAATCTTACTGAGGCACGTCTACAGAGATTACCCCTGGCAGAGATAAATATTACTGAGACAGGTCTATAGAGATTACCCCTGGCAGAGATAAATCTTGCTGAGGCAGGTCTATAGAGATTACCCCTGGCAGAGATAAATCCTACTGAGGCAGGTCTATAGAGATTACCCCTGGTAGAGATACATCTTACTGAGGCAGGTCTATAGAGATTACCCCTGGCAGAGATAAATCTGAATGAGACAGGTCTATAGAGATTACCCCTGGTAGGGATAAATCTTACTGAGGCAGGTCTATAGAGATTACCCTTGGCAGAGATAAATCTTACTGAGGTAGGTCTATAGAGATTACCCCTGGCATAGATAAATCTTACTGAGGCAGGTCTATAGAGATTACCCCTGGCAGAGATAAATCCTACTGAGGCAGGTCTATATAGATTACCCCTGGCAGAGATAAATCCTACTGAGGCAGATGTATAGAAATTACCCCTGGCAGAGATAAATCCTACTGAGACAGGTCTATAGAGATTACCCCTGGTAGAGATAAATCTTACTGAGGCAGGTCTGTAGAGATTACCTTTGGCAGAGATAAATCTTACTGAGGTAGGTCTATAGAGATTACCCCTGGCAGAGATAAATCTTACTGAGGCAGGTCTTTAGAGATTACCCCTGGCAGAGATAAATCTTACTGAGGTAGGTCTATAGAGATTACCCCTGGCAGAGATAAATCTTACTGAGGTAGGTCTATAGAGATTACCCCTGGTAGAGATAAACCATACTGAAGCAGGTTTATATAGATTACCCCTGGTAGAGATAAATCCTACTGAGGCAGTCAGTCAATTAAAATACAGTTATACTGAATGTTGAGATCAGACACAATGTATAACAACAAATACACAATGATAACTGTCTAAAACAGGAGGCGTTCCTAAATGTTATAGGTGCTGGAAGCTGGTCTTTATCTCATTGTCCCGGTGACAGGTTCTTATTGTTTATCAGTGTATTAGATAAGTTGGGATTATGTTGATAATTATTTGTGTTAAATTCCAGACTTTTGCCAAAGAAGAAGGGCTATTGAAGAAAATGACGGGATTAATGGTAAGATTGTCATTAATACTGATAACACAACAGTCAGTTATTTATGTCATCAATACTGATAACACAACAGCCAGTTATCTATGTCATTAATACTGATAACTCAACAGTCAGTTATCTATGTCATTAATACTGATAACACAACAGTCAGTCATCTAAGTCATTAATACTGATAACACAACAGTTAGTCATCTAAGACATTAATACTGATAACACAACAGTCAGTTATCTAAGTCATTAATACTGATAACACAACAGTCAGTTATCTAAGTTCATTAATACTGATAACACAACAGTCAGTTATCTATGTCATTAATACTGATTACACAGCAGCCAGTTATCTATGTCATTAATACTGATAACACAACAGTCAGTTATCTAAGTCATTAATACTGAGAACACAACAGTCAGTTATTTAAGTCATTGATACTGAGAACACAGCAGTCAGTTATCTATGTCATTAATACTGATAACACAGCAGCCAGTTATCTATGTCATTAATACTGATAACACAACAGTCAGTCATCTAATTCATTAATACTGATAACACAACAGTCAGTTATCTATGTCATTAATACTGATAACACAGCAGCCAGTTATCTATGTCATTAATACTGATAACACCATCGTCAGTTGTCTAAGTCATTCATACTGATAACACTACAGTTAGTTAAATACTGATAACACAACAGTCAGTTATCTAAGTCATTAATACTGAGAACACAACAGTCAGTTATTTAAGTCATTGATACTGAGAACACAGCAGTCAGTTATCTATGTCATTAATACTGATAACACAACAGTCAGTTATATATGTCATTAATCCTGAGAACACAACAGTCAGTTATATATGTCATTAATACTGAGAATACAACAGTCAGTTATCTATGTCATTAATACTGATAACACAACAGTCAGTTATATATGTCATTAATACTGATAACACAACAGTCAGTTATCTATGTCATCAATACTGATAACACAACAGTCAGTTATCTATGTCATTAATACTGATAACACAGCAGCCAGTTATCTATGTCATTAATACTGATAACACCATCGTCAGTTGTCTAAGTCATTCATACTGATAACACTACAGTTAGTTAAATACTGATAACACAACAGTCAGTTATCTAAGTCATTAATACTGAGAACACAACAGTCAGTTATTTAAGTCATTGATACTGAGAACACAGCAGTCAGTTATCTATGTCATTAATACTGATAACACAACAGTCAGTTATCTAAGTTCATGAGAAAATTGAACAAGGTTACATTTGATAGATTCATTGAATCCAATTTTTAGCTCACCTGCCCAAAATTCCGATTTTGCCCTTCTTTATTTGTTCAAAGACGTCCTATTGTATTACATGCACAAAAACTATGAAAGTGTGTTGTGAATAAGCATTTTTAGATCACCTGTGCTTTGCTGAAGTGACCTATTCCGATCACTTTCTGTCGTCGTGCGTAAACTTTTTGCATTTTCAACTTCTTCCCAAGAACCAGTGGATGGATTTTTTTTTAAACTTGGTCAGAATCATCCTTGGTAGATGAGGCTACAAAATTGTAAAATTTGGATTCCTATACCCTAACCCCTGGGGCCAGGGTGGGGCCCCAAGGGGAAATTAACCAATATTTCAAAAATCTTCTTCTCTAGACTCAGAGGTACTACAGTCATTTTCTCTGCATGGATGTAAAAATCATCAGGAGCTTTATTTAAATTGTAAACTTCAGGACCCCAGTGCTATCCGTTCTCCCTTGAGGAGGGGGTAAAGTTTACTATAGTTTATATAGGGAAACAACACTTTTGGATATATTTTGATAATTTTCTGTAGTAAATTATTCTTACTTGGTGAGAATTATTCCTGGAGGAAGATGGTTTTAAAATTTAAATTGGGATTCCTACCCCAACCATAGGGGCCAGGGTGGGGCCCCAAAGGGAAAATTAACCAATATTTCAAAAATCTTCTTCTCCAGACTCAGAGGTACTACAGTTATTTTCTCTGCATGGATGGAAAGATCATCAGGGCTTTACTTAAATTGTAACTTTCAGGACCCCCGAGCTATCCGTTCTCCTTTGGGGAGGGGGTAAAGTTTACTATAGTTTATATAGGGAAACAACACCTTTGGGTATATTTTGACAATTTTCTGTAGGAAATTATTCTTACTTGGTCCGAATCATCTTTGGTGGATGGATGTATTACATTGTAAAATTGGAATTCCTGCCCCATCCCCAAGGGCTAGGGCGGGGCCCCAAAGGGAACATTTACCAATATTTTAAAATTCTTAACTTTGATGACATGACAAGTATTGTATTTCACTTAGTTTACATGCTGATTTCCACATCACATCTAAACAATAAAATAAAGCTACCAGTACCTATGATATAACTCAGGTGACTGCTTAGGCCCTTGGGCCTCTTGTATATAAGAGTACTCGAATAAGTAAAGTTGTAAATTTTAACTCAAAATATAAATTAGAAAGGAAATTATTGAGAAAACAAAACACTTTATTTGATTTTTGTCCGGCAATCTCCTCCTACATTTTTCAACGGATCTCTTTGAAACTTTGTATATATTATAATCATGATATGACGTTGTGTCTCCCGTAAAAGAATTTTGATTCGACAATTGTTGCAAAAGTTATTGTTCTTTGTTTATTTCAGTATTTGATTTTCTGTCCGGAGATTTTCTCCTACATTTTTAGCTCACCTGGTCCATGGTGAGCTTATGCCATACCGCAGCGTCCGTCGTCCGTCATCCTGCGTCCATCGTCCGTCGTCCATCAACTTTACACTACTAGTCATGAACCACTGAGCGGATTTTAACAAAATTTGGTGTGGAGCATTCTTTTGTATAAATGGTGGGTCAGGCCCCCCAGGGGCCTGAGGGGCCTGAGGGGCATGCCCAATAGGGGAAATATAGCAAATTATTCTTTAAAATTCTTCTTCTTTTGTAGGAATGAAAGGATTTGTTCCATATTTGGTATGAAGCATCCTTGGGTGAAGGGGGTCTAATTTTGTATTAACCGTAGGTCTGGCCCCCCAGGGACCTGAGAGGCAGGGCCCAATAGGGGAAACAAAGCAAATTATTCTTTAAAATATTTCTTGTTCTGTAGGAATAAAAGTATTTGTTCGATATTTGGTCTGAAGCATCCTTGGGTGAAGGGGAACCAATTTTGTATAAACCGTGGGCCTGGCCCCCCAGGGGTCTGAGGGGCAGGGCCAAAAGGGGGCAATTGGGCTATATTGATTTAAGCGACTTCTTCTCTGGAACTAAGAGATGGATATCAACTATATTTGGTCTGAAGCATCCCTCGGTAGTGGAGATTCAAAATTGTACAAATGGGTTGGCTGACCCCCAAGGGGACTGAGGGGCGGGGCAAAAAGTGGGCAATATGGCTATATTACCACAAAAGGCTTTTTCTGTAGAACTATGCACTGGATATCAACCATATTTGACTAGAAGCATCCCTAGGTGGTAGGGGCCAACCCCCTGTGCTAAGGGGTGGGGCCAAAAAAGTTTATTACTTGGAAATGGTTGAGATCCCCATGGTATAACCATATATACAATTGTGGAGTATACAGAGAAGCATGCACATTTGCTTCCAGGATGGCCTAGGGTCTGGCCCCACCCTTTAAGACATAGTTCCTGGGTTATAACTTTGAAACGGTTGAGATCCCCACCCCAGAACTACATATACAAATGCTTGGCATAAAGAGACAAAAGTAATCATGGTATTAGAATAGACCCTGGGGTCTTACCAAACTCCTCGGGACCTAGTTTCTTAGTCACAGCTTGGAAACAGTTGAGATCCCCACCCTATAACCATGCATATATACAATTGCTGAGTATAAAGAGATGAATGCACATATGCTTCCAGGATGGCCTAGGGGTCTGCCCCACCCTTGTAGACTTAACCCCTGGGTCACAACTTCGAAATGGTTTAGATCCCCACCCCAAAACTATTTATACAATTGATGGGCTTAAAGAGACGAATGCAGTCTTGATATTAGAATTGACCCAAGGGTCTGCCCTACCCTTGCAGACTTAACCCCTGGCTCATAACTTTAAAAAGGTTCAGATCCCCACCCCAAGACAATACATACAAATGCTGGACAAAAACAGATGAATGCAGTCATGATACTAGAATTGATCCTGGGGTTTGGCCACAACCCTAGGGATCTAGTTTCTGAGTCACAGCTTGGAAACAGTGAGATCCCTACCCCATAACCATACATTAAATTGCTGGGCATTAAAAATCTAATACAGACATACTACACAAATTGGTATTGAGGTCTGGCATATTCCCTAGGATCTCATTTGGAGAATATTTTGCCATGATTGCTTAGATATCCAGGTGAGCGATACAGGCCCTCTGTGCCTCTTGTAATTTAGGTTTGAGCATCTTTCGGCCAAGAGGACTCAATTTTGTATAAATGGTGGGTGTGGCCCCCCTGGGGGCAGAGGGGCAGGGCAAAATAGGGGAGATAGAGGTAAAACCTTTACAATCCTTCTTCTATCGTAGGGATTAGGGGATTTTATCCTTATTTAGTCTGAAGCATCCTTGGGCCAAGGGGACTTTATTTTGTATAAACAGTGGGTGTGGCCCCCTTGAGGGCAGAGGGGCAGGGTTGAAAAGGGGAAATAGAGGTAAAACCTTTAAGATTCTTCTTCTACAATAGGGTTTAAAGGATTTTATCCTTATTTAGTCTGGAGCATACTTGGGCAAAGGAGACTCAATTTTGTATAAATGGTAGGTGTGGCCCCCTTGGGGCAGAGGGGCGGGGCTGAATAGGGGAAATAGAGTATTTTATCCTAAATTAGTCTGGAGCATCCTTGCATCTTGGTCTTGGTGTGACCCCAATTTTGTATAAACGGTGTGTCTGACCCTGCTGGGGGCAGAGAGGCAGGGCCAAATAAGGGATATAGAGGAATAGCTTTAATATCCTTTTTTCTTCCTTTAGGAGGAAGGTATTTTGACCAAATTTGAACGGTTAACATCCTATGGGAAAGGGAAATCAATTTTGTGTAAATGGTGTGTCTGACCCCCCTGGGGCCTGAAAGGTGGGCCCCAATAGAGGTAATTTAGCAAATTCTTGAAAATTCTTCTTCTGTAGGAATAACAGGATTTTGTCCATATTTGGTCTAAAGCATCATTGAGTAAAGGCAACCTGATTTTGTATCAAAGGTGGGTCTGATCCCCCTCGGGGCAGAGGGGTGGGGCCCAATAGGGGAAACATAGCAAATTCTTCAAAATCCTTCTTTTCCTGTAGGAATGACAGGATTTTGTCCAATTGCATATAAATATAACCCCTGACTAACCATGTAGTACTTGTACACTACCAGCAATATCTAGCTTTTCCAAATTCAATTTTACTAATATTGCAAGGTGAGCGATACAGGCCCTCTGGGCCTTTTGTTAGGACTCTAAAATGACTTTTAAAGAACAATTCAAAGGTCATGACATTTGACCAGTAACTTGCAGGCTTGTTGTGCTACATATTCATAAAATTAAATGACCTTGACTTATATTTAAAAAAAACTTTTACTAAAATACCAAAAGGTCTAGAATAATGATATTTGATCAGAAGCTAGCTGGCAATGAGTGCTTAAACATTTTGAAATGAAGTTGATCTTAATTCATGGTTGGGAGTCAAATTTGACAACATACTCAAATGACTTGTTTTGACTAACCAAAAGGTCTAGAATCAGGATGGTTGGCCTGTAGTTTCTTGGCATGGAGATGAAGGTTACAGGGAGGCAAATTTGTTTAAAAATTGTTTATTTTTTTATTTTTATAAATTACTGAAAGGTTTAGAGTCAAGTCACGCCTATAGCCTGATGAAATCGAGAGCTACAAAGTTTGTGAAAAGAAATAACCTTGAAATATATTCAAAAGGGTCAAATTACTCAAATGGCTTCCTCTGAAGAACCAAAAGACTTAGGATAATGCTAATTGGTTAGTAGCTTGTTGGCATGGTATGCTACAAAGTTAAAACAGAAAGTCCAAATAAATCATGTGAGCATCTTAAGGGCCCTTGGGCCTCGTTTACTATAAATATAGTATAAATATAAAAGTTATGATTTCTTAATAGTATTCTATACTGTGCTGTTAGGCTTTTTGTACTTTGTTGTCAGGCTAACCTGTCTGAAGTGCCTGTGTTGAGAAAACCTCTGATGACAGAAGAACTGATGGCCTTATACTGGTAGGTATTTCTGTTACTTTATATGATTTGTGTTTCTGTCATCACAATATTACATTTCATATTAGATTTATTTGTATTTATTGTAATATTGCATTTCTGACCATCCCCTGTCTGACACATTATTTGAATCCTGATATATTGGTACATACATAGAGATTTAATACCAACATCACTGACAACCTGTATCAGACACAAACCCTGGTGTGGTGGTATGTATACAGAGATTTGATATGACCTCCAACATCAATGACAACCTGTATCAGACACCAACCCTGGTGTGTTGGTATGTATACAGAGATTTAATATGGCTCCTAACACATCAATGACAACCTGTATCAGACACAAACCCTGGTGTGTTGGTATGTATACAGAGATTTGATATGACCACCAACATCAATGACAACCTGTATCAGACACAAACCCTGGTGTGTAGGTATGTATACAGAGATTTAATATGGCTACCAACATCACTGACAACCTGTCTCAGACACAAACCCTGGTGTGTTGGTATGTATACAGAGATTTAATATGGCTACCAACATCACTGACAACCTGTATCAGAAACAAACCCTGGTGCGTGGTATGTATACAGAGATTTAATATGGCTACCAACATCACTGACATCCTGTATCAGACACAAGCCTTGGTGTGTTGGTATGTATACAGAGATTTGATATGGCTACCAAAATCACTGACAACCTGCAGTATCAGACACAAACCCTGGTGCATTGGTATGTATACAGAGATTTAATATGGCTACGAACATCACTGACAACCTGTATCAGACACAAACCTTGGTGTGTTGGTATGTATACAGAGATTTAATATGGCTACGAACCTAAATGACAACCTGTATCAGACACAAACCTTGGTGTGTTGGTATGTATACAGAGATTTAATATGGCTCCTAACATCATGGACAACCTGTATCATGTATATAGAGATTTAATATGGCTACCAAAATCACTGACAACCTGAAGTATCAGACACAAACCCTGGTGCATTGGTATGTATACATAGATTTAATATGGCTACGAACATCACTGACATCCTGTATCAGACACAAACCTTGGTGTGTTGGTATGTATACAGAGATTTGATATGGCTACGAGCATCACTGACAAACTGTATCAGACACAAAGCCTGGTGTGTTGTTATGTATACAGAAATTTAATATGGCTACGAACATCACTGACATCCTGTATCAGACACAAACCCTGGTGTGTTGGTATGTATACGGAGATTTAATATGGCTCCTAACATCACGGACAACCTGTATCATGTATATAGAGATTTGATATGGCTACCAACATCACTGAAAACCTGTATCAGACACAAACCCTGGTGTGTTGGTATGTATACAGAGATTTAACATGACTACCAACATCACTGACAACCTGTATCAGACACAAATGCTGGTGTGTTGGTATGTATACAGAGATTTGATATGGCTACGAGCATCACTGACAACCTGTATCAGACACAAAGCCTGGTGTGTTGGTATGTATACAGAAATTTAATATGGCTACGAACATCACTGACAACCTGTATCAGACACAAACCCTGTTGTGTTGGTATGTATACAAAGATTTAATATGGCTACCAACATCACTGACAACCTGCAGTATTAGACACAATCCCTGGTGTGTTGGTATGTATACAGCGATTTAATATGGCTACCAAAATCACTGACAACCTGCAGTATCAGACACAAACCCTGGTGTGTTGGTATGTAAACAGAGATTTAATATGGCTACCAACATCACTGACAACCTGCAGTATCAGACACAATACCTGGTGTGTTGGTATGTATACAGAGATTCAATATGGCTACCAACATCACTGACAACCTGCAGTATCAGACACAATCCCTGGTGTGTTGGTATGTATACAGAGATTCAATATGGCTACCAAAATCACTGACAACCTGCAGTATCAGACACAAACCCTGGTGTGTTGGTATGTATACAGAGATTTAATATGGCTACCAACATCACTGACAACCTGTATCAGACACAAACCCT